AGCCCGAATCATCCTAGACCTACTTCCATTTGGGCTGCTTTTCTCCCATCCGTCGTCTGAAGAAGAGTCGGCAGCACACGGAAATTGAATTGCAAGTGAATCCAGCATAGGTGCTGGCGCCACTGAAGGTGGGGGGTCGCTAATCACTATCACTCGGGTTTCTCCCCCTTTCTGGCACCCTGGCTCACTTTGCAAGCACCACAAAGCTCCAAGCACGAGTAGAGCTGCAACCAGTACCAGTACCCAGGTCCCAAGTTGAGGCCACAAATCCATGGCGAGATTTCCCCGCAACTACTTGTCACCTTTCTTGGATTGACCCAGAATTCTAGGAGAGCGCGCGGGTTGCGTGCATTCAACGCATCCGGACACAAACAACAACTTTTTCCACGAGACTCGACCCACAAAAAGTTCAGCTTTCGGATGTTGTGTTTTGCATATACTGATTTTTGTGTTGCTTTTGCGCCTTCGGTCTTCGGATGTTGGGTTTTGCGTTTTCGGATTTTGCGTTTTGCGTTTTGCGATGTTTTGCGATTTGCGTTTTCGGAAGTTGGATTGTGCGTTTTCGGATGTTGCGTTGTGTGTTTTCGGATTTTGCTGCGCGCGTTTGCTTTAGCGTTTTGCGTTTTCGGATTTGGTGCTTTGCGTTTTCGGATTTGTCGCGTTGCGTTTTTGGACCTTGCGTTTTGCGTTTGACTTTTGCGCTTTGCATTTTCGGATTTTGCGCTTTGCGTTTTCGGATTTTGCGTTTTGCGTTTTGCTTTTGCGTTTCGCGTTTTCGGATTTTGCGCTTTGCGTTTTCGGATTTTGCGTCTTGTGTTTTGCTTTTACGTTTTTGTGTTTTCGGATTTTGCGTTTTGCGTTTTAATTTTGCGTTTTGCGTTTTTGATTTTGCGTTTTGCGCTTTCGGATTTTGCGTTTTGCGTTTTTTATTTTGCGTAGCCGGGCTGGACGTGTCAATAGAAGGCCCTCACCATTAACTTTTAAATCCTGTTAAGCTAAAACCTAACTCTGTGTTCAAGTCCCCGCTGAACGCCGAGTTGTGCAGCATCCAGTGGTTCACAAGGGAGGGGGTTCCACGAGGCATGGCGTCGCAGATCCCGGGTCCAACGGCATCTTCAAGGAGATCGAGGACAGTGCAGCGGGCGAGGAAGAGCCCGACCTTGAGGTGAAGCAGTGGGAAAACTTTTTGACAGACGAGAAGCACAGGACATTGATGACAAAGGAGGTGCACAAAGTCGACGCGGGAGGATTGTGCCGGAAACTCGAGTGGGACGAAGCCAAGCGAGAGTTCGGAGTGACGACGGCCTCTCGGGTGGGCCTCATTCAGCAAGAGAGAGCGGATGGCCGGAAGATCCATTCGCTAACCCTCAACTTGGAAGAGTCGGATGGCAACAGCCGAGCGCACATTCAAGAGAAGCGCACGCTCCCTCGAGCCTCAGACGTGATCCGCTCCTTGCGAAAAGTCGCGGGCTGGGATGGTGATCAAGCGGTCACAGGATCGACTGATCGGCAAGAACTGGAGTTTGCAAGGGTCGAGATCCAGGGCCTGGTAGGGCGTCTAGCTGCTAGCTGTGGCGACAGAGGAGGTACGACGCTGCATCAGTCGTGGCCCACAAACCGGAAAGGCATGGGTTTGGACATCGCTGAGGTTGGGATGTCCAGCGACCCCGCTGTTGGTAGATGGCTGGCCACGGCAATGGCCCGACTGACACAAAGCATGGGCAAACCGTTGGAAACAATGTTGCAGTGCTATGCGGATGAACTCCTCGTATGAGCCAGGGAGAGAAAGCTCAACGTGATCACCCCGTCAGGTTTTTTTAAAGCGGTGGTAGCTGACGCGAAGCAAGGCGAGCCGGCCGAAAAGGATGAGGCAGAACCTGACAAGAAACGGGCGAAGACGGAAGAAGGAGGGCAGGCCAGTCAGGTACCGACGGTGGCGCGCTTGCGGCTGGGTGCTGCTGGGTGCGGCTGGGTGCGGCTTTTCCGTGGGCAACCAGGCTGCAGCTGACATGCAGAGTTGAACACCTTCACTGGGACAAGCAGCGGCCACAATGGGGAGTGGTCACGACAGCCTTGAAGAAGGGCATAGGTGGGGTGTTGTTCAAGATCGCACCGGCGACGTTGGAGATCACGTTGGTGGAGGGGTTCGAAGCTCCAATCACCCCACTCGAGTCACTCGAGGAACAACTCCTCATGATCCAGCTTGCCGAAGCCCCCACCCCATGATGCGAGAAACGTATGGGGTGTTGAGAGCCATTAAGTTGTGGCAGCATGGGATGCGGGGCCAGCGCATTGTCCTGAAGTTGGATAATGTGATTGCCTTAGGCATTGCCCACCAGCTTTGCTCCCTGTCGATGCCACTGAACAAATTACTGTATCTGGCATCAGAACTGGCACTCCAACTGGAAATGCTGGACGTGCCAGGCATTGAGGTGTTCCACTTGCTGGGACAGTTCGGGACGGAAGTCGCGTGGCTGTCCAGGGTCGATGAGCGAGGGCCAGGGCCACAATCCCTCAAAGGTCGACCCGTGAAGCGCATCGTGGCCAATCAATGGATCCGCGCCGCACCAGCAGAGTGTCTGGGATTCGCTGTGAGCCCATCAGCGAGTGGCAAGCGGGGGTGTGCGGTGGGCTCGGGCCGGGGGGGAGGCATGAGGAAGTCCTTAAACTAAGCCCTATGTTTTTGGGGGTCATGTACGGTTGTCCGTTAGAGTCAGAGGTCAAAGGTCGTCGTGTGACGTTTGGGCTTATGGCGTGGACGCAGTCGACCGGGGAGAGGTCCGACCTCCGGTTGCGGCCAAGACTTACGATGAGTCGCCGCGAAGGAAACACACATGCAGCGAGCGACCGCAGTCGTGGAGGGACAGCAGAGATAGAACGACATCAGGTGACGATAGTCGAGTTAAACATGCCTTGAGGTGGAACAGACGTGACAGCCATACCTAGTCTCCTGACCTACCTGCAGAGCAGCCTTGAGGAGCAAGACAGGCAGAAGGGTAGCCCTCCTGGTCTGAGTCAGCAATCGTCCTGGCGAGATGAGGCTAAAGGCAAGCAGAGGAAAGCTTGCGATACAGAGGCAGAAGGTCGCCGCACGTGAGAGTTAGTTGAGGAGGACTGTGAAAGAAGACTCTTCCCCCCGAGCGGGAGATCCGAAAAGCAGAAGCATCCCAGAGCGGATGGAGCGACAGTTGTGAGAGATAGAAGGACATCGGGTGACGGGAGACGAGACAAATGACCTGAAGACAAAGTAGACGTAGGAGTCAGACCTAGTCTCCTGACCTGCCTGCAGAGCAGGCTCGAGGAGCAGGACAGGCAGACGGGTAGCACTCCTAGTTTGAGTCAGCAATCGCCCTGGCGAGAGGAGGGGTCAGGGCAAGCAAAGAAAAACTTGCGCGACAGAGTCAGTGGAGGTGGAAGTTGGCGCAAGCCAACAGCCGCGGAAGACAAAGGGCTTGGAGATTGACTGCAGAGACAACGCTACTTTCAGCAAAAGATGCTTTGTGAAGGGTGGAGGGTTGGGACATGATAGGAGTGAACTGGCTTGTATGAGTGAATAACATTCACCATGTTGTATGAGTGAATACCATTCACCAGACACGTCAGGAACTCTATTGGGAGGAGGTGGGTGTGTGCCATTTTGGCTCAAGCACACCCACTTCTTCTCTTTCCCGTAACTTCCAACCCACCCAGCCCTATGTGGTAGAGGTGCAAGTTCAATAGCCCTGGAAGACAAAGGGTTTGGAGACCGACTGCAGAGAGAACGCGACCTTCAGGAAAAGATGCTTTGTGAAGGGTGGAGGGTTGGGACATGATAGGAAGGAACCTGCTTGTTTTACCCTTTTGCCGCGTCCAAGAAATTTTTACATCTGAAAGCGTGCGTGGCCTGAAACGTGCTTCCTCCCCGCAAGGGACTGCAGAAGTTCTGATGACTGTCGACCTGTCGGCTCAAGAAGTCACAGATTCAGAAACCTTTGAGATGTGAGTTGTTGTGGTGTTTGCTTTGCTGATGCGATATGGGTTGCTAGTCTCGCCGAGCGCGGCCTTGCGCAACCTGCTGCGGCAATACCCCAGCGGCGGCCAATTCATTTCCAAGGCCCCGCAGAATGCGGCGGACTCTGGCCGTGCCTCGCGTTTCTGTGCCCTACTGGACTTGCATTGCTTTCCAGCAGACAGGATGCCATTGGCTGTTGAGTTTTGCACCTGAGGCCAAAGAGGCACACAATCGGCACCCATGAGACTGGCTACTACATTTCAAAGAGGCCAGTAGACAAGAAATGATGAGATTGAATATAGTTGCGTTGTGCTGGCATGGCGGAAAGAGGCATCCTTTTGCAGCAATATGCAGTAATTAGTGGCCTGCTTCGAGCCGAGGATTCAGCCAGCCGTTTTGTGCTAGGGCGGCCCCTGTAACGCGGCTGGAACGAAGCACCA